CATCATTGCTTATAGCTTGGTTGGTGGATGAGTATGGTTGGGAACCCCCAATCCGTGCTTGATTCCCCTCGTGCAACATCGCAGCTTAAGTGGGGCCCAATTAAATACGGGTCAAGAGTTTTCCAGGGTGGATGCCTCTTCTAAGTCAGCCTAAGATTAGTCTCGCCGCCAAGCACCCTTTCAGGGATGGCAACGGATGAATACCCCGTTCCCTATATATATAATGTATTAAAGCCATCTTTGTTTGGAATAGCTTTTTTAATGCTTCTTAAAGCAGTTTTCTAATAAATTTTTTGTACTAAAAAGTTACTTCAAAAAGCAGAAAAAAAGTCGTCCTAAATGAAGCCTAAGAGTGATGATAACCTGTCATTTAAATTGTTTGTTAAATATTATACAATAACATTATCCAAGTAGGATTAATAACTGAATTTAATAAAATATTTGATTATGAATCATAAATCTTGATATATATTATAATACCAACCACTCTTAAGATTTTCATTAATTTATTGCTTCATTAGAAATAACAAATAAAGGTCCATATAAATGATAAAACAAAAGTCTAAAAATGAACAGGAAAATAGATCAAGCAGCTTTTGATAAAATAATAGTTTTATTGGCAATCTCTTGCAGTTGTTCTTAACACAAAAACAAGGAAATTAATTAACAGCAACAACAGGCAATATATTAAAAAGGGGAACTCATTCTATCTCTAAATATACAATGCATGAATAAAATAAGTAGCACCCACATTTAAACAAAACAAATCTTACCTTTCTTTGAAGGTGATTTACTCCCTAGCAATTGATTCCACATTGCTGCACATCTGGACCTGTAACTCTGGTGGTGAAAGGGTCAATTCGAACCCACAACAAGCTGAATATAGAGGCAAGAAGAATAGACCAGACCACGACGATGGTCGGGGTTCGATTCTGCCGGCCCATTAGACCCTTGAGGAATGGGTAGAGATGAACAATGACCCAGAAGGCAAAAAAAAGCTTGCCAAAGAGAGGTCCCCATGACTGATAACCACTGTTAATGGCATATGATATTCCGGCAACGACGCCGACAAGGTTTATGATCAAGAGAGTTGTGGGTGGTATCAGAAGTGTGGTCCATTTGAACATGTAGAGTTCTGTGAAATCTCCTTCCTCATCTGAAGCCTTGGAAGTGACGGTGAAGTTTGTGTCGATACCGGCGAGAACTTTTAGAAGGCCTTGGAATACGGCGAAAAGATGGGCGGAGACGCCTCCGATGACCCAAAACTGTTCATTCCTCCACCATTCATCGATGCCGACACCGCTCCATCTCATCTCCAAGATGCCGGTGGCGAAGATAGAGATGAAGAGGGAGATGAACCAAAGACTTGCAAAGTTGCTGATCTGCATTGGAAGTGAAGCACAATTCAGCAAGGAGGGCAGTGCAATCTACTGTACTCAAAAGCTATTTATTTAGATGAGTTGTGGAAAGGACAAAATAATTTAGACAGTGAATGTTTCTGTACAGAGTATATAAAGAAGACCTGTCATGTTCTAGAAAAAAAATAATACTGGAAAAAATGAGGATATCTACATCAAAATTTGTTTGAGATGAATGACATACAATATTTAATAGATTATTAATATATGACATGCATCTGAAAGCACATCAAAGAGTTTTAAAATCTAAAACCCATTTTAATCAAATTTGGGTCAGAATAACACAATCTCATTTTTCTTCAAAATAATTTACAATCTTAGGTTTCATTTGGGACACAACTTTCTTTCTGCTTCTTAAAGCAGCTTCTTTGTACAAAAAATTCAAATCTTTGTTCTAAAAATTGGCTTTAAGAAGCAGAACAAATGCCGTCCCAAATGAAATCTTAATTTCTCGACACTATATATAGAGTGCCTGTCATATTTTAGAAAAAATAATAATACTGACAAAAAAAACTTCGAGGATAGCTGCAATGCTACGTCAAATTTTGTTTAAGATGAATGCAATATAATATTTAATCAATTATTAATATATGACATTCATCTTAAAACACATTGAAGAATTTTAAAACCCACCCTAACTAAATTTTGATCACAATACCTTGAACTCATTTTTCTCCAAGAATACCATCCGCAAATCAAAGTTCTGATAATATCAAACAAAATGGAATAGAGTTTGTCCTAATTTGAAAATTAATAATTCGGACTGTAATATTATCAATCATTTTAAGATCTGCCTGTTTCAGAACCAGAACTTTTGATTGTATAACATGATCAACAATGGTTCAGAGATGGATCAATTTAATATAATTAAATCTGATTGATTTTGCTGGCTATGATTTGAAATTCATACAATGGTAAAGTGCGACATTAACATAAAATATGATTAGTTTTGGTTTTAACCAAAATCCACCATCATTGAAAGTTTCTTTTTCAGTTGTGAATAAGCCTTCGTTTGGGACGGTTTTTTTACTTCTTCTTAAAGCAGCTTTCTAATAAAAAACTTTAATTTTTATACTAAAAAGCAGTTTTAAGAAGCGGGAAAAAAGCCGTCCCAAATGAAGCCTAAGAAGCCAACCAAACTTCAAAGAAGAAAA